TTCTAGAATAAATATCCTGTTATTTATTATTTTTTCAGCGAATTATGCATCAATATCCCCTGCATAGAATCTCTTATTGTGCCGACGACAAAGGAGAGAAAAAGTTCTTTAGCTTCATTGCAAAGGAAGAAGACGCAGAGAAACATACTTGCTTCGTATTCGTTAGCGATAGGTTGGCCGAAGAGATTACGTTGACGATTGGTCAAGCTTTCGATTTAGCTTACAGGCGGTTCTTAGAAACCTCTGGCAAGGATCTTGAAACTCAAAGACGTTGCATGGTGTTGCAACAAAAGATTAAAAGATTAGAGCACGAGAACAATGTCTATCGGCAACGGTTACAAGATATTGCTGCTATCAAAGGCTCGGTTAGTGTGTGCCAATTTAATTACTTTATTATTAGTTTTAACTTTTTCTCGGAGGTGTGGGTTTGAATTATTTCCCGTTGCTGTGTGGGTGAATGATTTACTGCAAGTAAAATTTATAAATCTAACTTCATTGTATATTTTTTTTTTCTTTTTCTTGTAAAATGATTTATTGCATATATTTTGAAATAATCTCCTATATGTTATTGAGGTTTTTTTTTTACATCTAGATTTGTATTTATCTTTTAAGTTGTTTTTTATTTGAATATATTTTACTGAACAAAATATTTGCATCCAATTAAAACATCGGGTCAAGACCTTGCGGTTCATTTTTTATTTATATATATTTCATGTGCTCAAAACATAGAAATTTATGTACAATGCCAGAAAATTAATCGAAATTAGAACTTTATTATACAATAACAATAGTTGAATGTGTGATTGTCGAGAATATCCCGACCTACGATAAAGGTATCTTGACAGCAAAGAATTAAAACATTAAATGCGAAACCGATCTTATTAGACTTTCAACAAGTTCTAGTGTTTAACATGTATTTTATATTTACCGGAAACTAGCATTTATCGACCCCGATAGCTTATTAATTAAATTACACTGAAACAAATCAAATCAGAACGACATAATGGATATTCCCTAACACTTTGATTTTAAGTTTATAGAACATAAAAATAACAAATAGAAAAATAAATATTCTATTGCACAATGGCCGGTACTAGTGACTAATCCACGCCTAGCTGAGTCAGTCGTTAATAAATGACAATTTTAATAATGACTAATATATAGTGTTAAGCTTCCTCATCCCCTTAAAGTTCTGTTAACTATTTTAGAGTCTATAATTTCTGACTTATCAGACTTACCATTCGTTTTTGACTTTTTCAGGCGGATGTTTCGACTTACCTTTTGCAGCACGATCTTCCGGATATCCTGCATGTACCCGGAGCACCAAGCGAATCTCCGCAAGTTAACGGCACAACCAACAAGTCTCCTCTCATAGGAATAAACAACGATAGTAACGGAAACACATCTAATGGACCGCAACAACCACCACCTGTCCCTCCTAGGAGCTTTGAGAAATCCTTTGATGACGATTTCATGGGGTCGGTTATAGTAACGAAACAAGTGATATGATTAATGAATATAAAATGATATATTTAGATAAAGAATTTATAAACATTCCTTTCATTAAAATAGAAGTGAAGCAACACCAACACCAACACCGGTTGTTGGAACTAAATTAGAAGGTCTTCTCATGGACGAGTTTGAAGAGGACTTTAATCCTCGAGCATACGAGACCGCAGCTAATGGTCTTGCCAATCTTCCAACAAACAACAATTCTCTCCTTAATGGTCAACTATCGTCGAATTCTAATATATTTGCACAATCTAATGGTACTGCCAGTCCGCCGCCGCTTTGTAAGTTCCTTTAATTCTATATTAGCATTCTATAGTCTCGTATAACTTCCAAGTTATATACCAATATATCGATATTTCTTTTGGTTAATTTAATTTTTTTTACTCCAATATGATATACATTACTCTTTAATCCCTTTTTGTTAACCGATAAAATCCATTTTAACTTAAAATTGTAGAGTAATCTTTGAAAATGTTTAATTTATTGTTAATTTGTATTTAAAGATTGATATTCGTTATTTTTTCTATATAAACACATTATTTTATACATCACGGCGAGAGATCGGACTATAGGGAGTTAATAGGATAATAAAACAAATTTTAATATTAATCTTTATTCCTTAAGTGGCGCCGCCTCCAAAGGCAAAGGATTCGCGACGACAAAATGGAGTAAAAGAAGATCTTTTTGGTAGCGTGCCTTTTAATCCTACACCGTCTATAAATACAAAAAATGACTTTAATGATCCTTTTGAAATGGGTGAATTTGGTGCTACAACCGTAAACTCAAGTCCGAGCCAACAGGAGTTGGAAAATGCCATAGGACTTTTGGATAAGAGATTACTTGAAATGAAAGTGAGTTTTATAATTTGATGATAAAAATTACACGTTAAATACCATGGAGCCTATCGATAAACGGCATTAAGTTTATTCGAAATGCCGCGAGAGTTACCAGTAATCTTTCAGTAAGATAAATACGTTGCATATGATTAAACACTTGAACTTATTTGTTCTAACATAATATATAATATAAATAATAAATGCATAATAATAAATTCGTGTTGGCATCATGGGCAAGCCATATAAAATTAACGTGGCATTCAACATGTTAAGAATATCTTATATGTCATTCGATATTTTTATTAATATACTTGTATTAATATATTAATATACATTATTTTTTAGGATGGCTTTAGCAGAGGTTTATCCATGGGAACTGATGATTTTTCATTGGAGAGCTTAGATCCATTAAGGAATTAATTAAATCGAACGATCATTGATTATTCAAATTTAGATTGAATCAAAGATGAAAATGAAGAAAGAAAAATTCTCTATCGTGGTCTCTGTGGAGAATCAAAATCTGTGTGAAACCAAAATTAGTCAATTACTGTTATTATACGATACTCGTATATTTATGGTGATGTTTGATATTTATATTATATTATTATAATTATCTATTGAATAACTTCTACTACAAACGTGCGCAGTTTCCCACGCTTGATCGTTGCACGATATAATACTTGTTTTATTCGTTGCTTTTGATGATATGTCAGGATCCAATCGCGTTTAATTGTCTATAATATATTACTATGCGTTTAAAAATGGACAAATCAATGAAAGATAGGATCTTAAAGTAATTAAATTTTAAATAAGATTTATAAAAAAGAAAAAAACAAATAATCATGTTTTCTAAGTAAATTTATATAATTTTAAACGGATTCTTGTATAAAAGAGGTAGGCCGTACAAATATTTTTCGAAAAATCTTACAGAATTTTTTCACGTTTTAGCTAGAATCTTAGGTAGTAGGAAATCGTGTGGCTATCGCTAATTCTACATTATTGAAAAATTTTTAGAGGGTATCATTATTCCTAGTTGTTACAATAATAACTGCTACGACTAAGAGAAAAGAGAAATTTCAAATATATATTTTTATAAATATAGGATTCAGCTTATACAGTTTCTCTTTTATTCAAGTCGCGTGCCGAAATAAAAAGAAATATATAAACATTAACCGAAGTAGAGTTAGATATTACTAAAAATGCTATAAACGCATAAATAGTATTGATAATCCTTCGGTTAGATCAAATATTATCTTCTTACTATCTTTTTTTTCCGTATTAAAAATGTTCCCAATTTTATATCTTTTATCTGTCTTATCCATAACAAAAAAAAATGATAATAATTATTATTTTTAAAAGAATATAAATTAATATTAATAACATGGTTCACAAAATTATTTGTACAAATATAGATCTGATTTGTTATTTGAAAAACGATTACTATTTACTACGAAAATTCTATATACTAGATATACTATAAGTATAAAATTAATATTATGTAAATATTAAATTTCGTCTTATTGTTACTATATTATATAAGAATTAAAATTAAGAATATACATTATATATATATATATTATATATATATACATCGTCTGATTATTACGATAGAAAAGTTCTTTATTTACCAATTATTATTCATATTCATTTTTTGATTACCGACGTTAGAAAAGTTTTATTTAATCAAGTTCACGCAAGATGGCGATACTTTCCAACGAAACTTATTTACCGGTTCATTAAAAAAGAATACCAATATATCCTTTTTGTTTAGCATATTTCACATATACATTATAAAATATATTATCCATTAGATACTAGTTTTATTTAAATTTGAATAATAAGAACCGTGACTCATAACGATAACGCGGTTTAGTGCCACATGATCCATGACTCGACCAATCGACTGCGCAATCGCATTTGATATATCATTGCACGTCACGATAAGTGCACCGCGAGGTTGCCGAATTTACTTACATTAGACTTATTCAAAAGTCGGTATCTTTAATTTTTCATCAAAGATTTGTATTTTATTTCTAATAATAAAATAATTGACCAAATTTTCAATAAAGTACATTTTGGATATGATTTAAATAACATCACTTTTTAAAGAACATCTGTACTTTTTGAAAATTTATGCGAATCACCGTTTTAATTTATCGCGAGAAAATACATTGTAATTATATTACTCGAAATATCAAATATATCGTAGAACATAAATCTTAGTAAATTTATATTATTACTATTTTGTCATAACTCTTCTTAATCCTATTAAATTCGACATTATCTCGTTGACATTCAAAATTACATTTAAAAAATCGCTAATGCTTTCACCTTGACATTTAACGCCATCTATCGTAGGTACATCTAAATGCTATATAATCATGTAATTGAAATGAAATGAAATTAACGGAAAGATAATAAATTAAGTAAAGAAATAAGAAACCAAGAGATAATTCCAAAATTTTCCAAAAAAAATCCTCAAAAAGAAAGACAACAAAATTTTGAAAAATATTTTGATAAAAAAATTGAAGAAACTCAAGCCTTAAACAACGACGTTTGCGTTCGAATAAACGCCGACCGGTAGGTAGTAGGGATAAAAATGTAAGTGTAGGTACATTGATACTAACTTGCATGCAATCTGACAACGTCGCATTCGCATCACTGTTAGTCTGCGTTCGGTGGCGTCAGTATTCCGCGAGCTTCCATCGTGTGTACTTTGGAAGTAGGGTTGTTAGCAAGTAAGCAAACAAGTAAAGCGAACAGGATCTAAAAGATTTAGAGGTCGAAGAATATACCACAAAGAAAAGAGTGAGATTATTCGATATTATCAAGATTCGCAAAGAAGAAACAGAAAAAATGGCGGACGATGGGCACGAGAATGGCACCAGCAACGGGGACGTGCCTGAGATCGAGCTGATCATCAAGGTGAGTGTGTGTTTCTGCGTACGTACACAACGCGCGTCTGCTTTAGCGAAAGAAGGATAGAGGAGACAACTGCTTGGAACTCGGTGGAGCTTTTATAGAGGAAGAGAGATAGGTAGTATTATAGAGAGAGGGTGGTAACAGCAACGGCGAACGTAGAGGTTAAGGGGTGAGCAGGGGGGAAAAGGAGTTACTCCGCAGGCGATATGGGCGTGGAACGAAACGAACTCTTAGCCAGCTCGATCTCTTACAAACTTCCTGCCTATCATCTTCCTTATATCTTGTCTTCGTTTCTTTTTCATTTCATTTTTTATTCTTATTCCTTTTCCTTGACTTATATGCGTTAGAGAAAGACAAATAAAAAAGAAGAAATGTCAGAGAGGATGAGACAACGATCTTCGGAGAATATGAAAAAGAGAGAGAAAGAAAGAGAGAGAGAATGTGTGCTGTTGTGTGTGTGTGTGTGTGTGTGTGTGTGTGTGTGTAAGAAAGAAAGAGAGAGAAGAGAACGCGTCACGAGTCGAAAAGCATCCGGCAGTGGCGACTACTGCTACTGCCACTTCTATACTTTGTTATCGGTGTGTCTTGTATATATATATATGTATTTATGTAGTGTCCTCGTTCGAAGGAATGGTTGGTGTGTTGTGTGTGGTTATGTGTTGCTGCTCCAGTGATGATGATGGTGCTTTTATGGTGCCCCGATGCTCTGTGTGTGTGTTGACCGTTCATTCGACGCCAATGTCGACCACCCTGTCCCAGCTGTCTTTTGTTTTTACTTCGCCTCGCCGGACGGCAGCCAATTTTGGAGGCTCTCGGAGTCGGCAAGGTTGCGTCGAGTGTCTAACGAAAATGGATCTAACATAAATTGTTCCAGTTATCGGAATTGTAGGAGAGATAATACAACCTCTCTATCTTATTTTTCTTTTTAATTTTATTATTATGCACGAGAGTTTTCTCGTATGTGTATTTTCATACACTTTGTAGAAAATTTTATTGCTGAAATAAATATTAATTTCAAATCAATAAATATATGTGTAGAGCTTATCATGAATATAAAAGTCACTAATCCGGTATATGATTTCTGATGTCATTAGGAATCTAAAATTTCGTAGGAACGTAAATATCTTCAACCACACGGGCAACGTGGAATTCGTGTTCAAAATATTTTGTAAAATTTAACGAGCTACGCTGTTATTGCGTCGATCATGATTTTAACACATTTTTGTTTTTTCTTTAATTTTATTTTTAGTTCTTTTTTAAGTTATACTTCTTTTTATTCTAATTCTTAAGATGCACCTATATAAGAATAAAACTAGCCCGCGGTGAGAGGAATAATTTCAACTTGATTGTTGGATTCTACAAATATAACACACTAATTGTAAAATTATATTACTATAATTTACATCTTAAGATTAATAATCAACTTAAATCCATATACATAGTGTTCTTGATCATTTTCAAAGGTATCCAAATTCGTTGTGACTGTTTTCTATGCGAAGTCTGTACAAATTATGTTTGATTAGTGTTTCTCTCATTTTCTTTGGTCAACCATGTCTTCTATTTAGACTCATAGATAATAAATAGTTTAATGAATTTGATTCGGTAATCTGGGCAACTAATTTATCGGATTATCATAACCCACGTGAGACTCATAAAAATATATTCAATTAAAACATTATTTATTAATCACGAGTATATTACTTCCATGAAACAAACTTATATATATTTAAAATTGTGTTAAGTAGTGTTTATTTCAACTTTGATGTTATCTATTTTTATATTACAATTTTTAATATTTTCGTCCAATTATTATTATAGTCATTATGAAACATATTAGGTTGTTGTGGATAATAGCTGGCTAACAAATGTGTTAATTGTACCAATTAAATGAACCTAGCGCTGGAACGTAAATTATTCATTTGAGAATGAATGCATGTTCATATAAACTTTTTTATTTAATATTATTTCAGACATCATTTATTCCGACTTTTGTTTGTGTTAATCACCTTATATTTTTTCTAATCGATATTTAACGACAAAGTCAATTTTCGTTCGATGACGCGATTATTTTTATATTTTAGAATCAATTTCCCTTGTTGTTGTAGATATGTACAGATATGTCCCGAAAAAGTCAGGACTAAATTTATACTATATGTTCACACATGGGATCAAAAGTTCATATAAATATATATTCCAAAAAGTTATAATTGTTTAAAGATTTTTATTAATTGTTTTATAGTAGTTATAATAAATATTCACAAATTGTTTTTGTAAGAATGCAGACTTCCATTTGAAACAATGATTGTCGAAATCTTTCGAATATTCCTGCTTTTGTAAAAGTAATAATAAATTCACTTGGAATGTATTACCAAACTTGTTCTTCTCTTTCTATTGTATTTTAGTAAGGAAAATGGCATCCTTAAGTCTATTAATTTGACACCTATGATCTCCATCCCCTACACATTTTATACTATAATTGCAAAGTTCAAGTTTCGTGTGAATTTTTATCACTTTGTTTTACTTCTTTAGAGAGTAATCCCCTTGAAAGCTTATAACACTTCAGTAAAGAGTTTTCAGACATAAATTATTATATGAACTTTCTTGACCTACTTGACCTCATTAACGCGAGGTAAATGTTTGTTCCTGACCTTTTCGGACACCTTGTATATGTATACATATACACATATGAACGTATGTGAGAATCGACGATAGCGACAAAGCTGAACTGATGCGTCATTGGACTTCTCCAGTTGATTTTAAATGTGCGATCTTTGTTCTCCCCTTTATTCGCATATATTAACTCATGTTATAACGTTATCTCTTGTTATTTTCTAATGCGAATTTCCATTTTCACGTTTCAATTATTTTTTCTTACTTCCTAGTTCCGTGAGACGTTCTTCATGTTACGATCAATGAACTTTTCCGAGTCATCTTTGTTTGTATTCGTATTGCAAGTAACGGTGGAGAAAGGAAGATATGCATAAACAGATTTCTATATATGTATATATGTAAAATCCTTTTATAACACGGTACTTTGTAAAGACGGTATAATACGACGTAAGAATTAGGGCATTCTTTTTACAGCACAGTTTAAGAATTGGGTCATCCTTCTTATAAAAACAGAGTAAACATTAAGACATTTGTTTCATAAGATGGTTCAGAAATGGGACATACCTCTCATAACACAATTCAAAAGTGCAGACACAAACATGGTGAGATTCGTTTTCTAAAACAATACAAAAATTATACTAATCTTTTTATAATACGATCTCCGTATAAGATAACTTTGAGCAACTCTTATGTAGTACGAATGTTTCTGTAATAATATTTATTTTCGCTAACCACAGTTTTAATAAAATACGGAAATAAATGATCGTGTTATAAGAGGATTATACTTTGATGTATTTATAATATGTTATAGATACTAACCATTGGAACCCATAGAATAATAATTTTGATTAATATCCAATCGATATCTCGTTTTGACTTTGACAAATTAATTATTTAATCGCATTATCAAGATTAGTTTCTTATGTAATTTTTATGCGTGTATTATGTATAATACGACCAATAATAGGGTATCAGACAATTTTATATCAATGCGAGAAGGTGAACCTTCTATCTACCTAACGTTATTATCTTATTTGCATAGAACACTTGTATAGATCGTTGTCATAAGTCGTTATATGTATCGAAGATATTACAAACGATCGTGTAAGCTATTCGCAGAAGCATACTTCTTTCAATATTCTTTTTTTCTTGAAAATAAATAAAGAAAATAATGCAATATTTGCATTAATAGGAAGAATAATAAATTCATTGATTTGTCATTTCAATAATTTCAAAGTTCTATAATTGATATCTCACAGAAAATATTAGAATAAATTAAATTTTTTTTGATAATATATTTAAAAAATTTCAGACTTAATATATATAGGAAAATAAGATAAAATATTGTATTATATGAAAATAATTTATTTGTTATAGACAAAATTTGAATTAATTTACTTTTTATTTTTTTTATTTTACTTTTTTATATATAGGAAAATACTAATACTTTTTGATTGATACTATTTCGATAAATATTACGTTATCTATTGATTAGTACATTTCCAATGAATATTTTTTCTGTTACAATCATATTTTGTTCTTATATAGTAGGATAAGATATGCGACATCAAAATTGACGATTAGGGTAGCCTTTGATTGACTAAATAGTGTTATCGTAATTTTTCAACGAACGTAATCTATATTTTAGTGAATATAGATCGTTGTATAAAAATCATCGTTTGGCGATAAGAGATAATTGGAAGATCGACGAATAAATTGTTTACCAAGTTGATAAAATCTTAAAGATAAAGTAAAAATTCTTCTATTCAAAAAATGTTTTAAACAACAAAAATAAAGTTATCAACGTAATTAATATTTGGGCCAAGTTATGCGGTAAGGCTACCAATCTATCTGAAATATTAAAAAAAAAAGATTCAATTTTAAAATATTAATTAAAAACAAACCAATATGGTTGTTGTATAATCTGGAAAGCTTAGCCTTCTTGTAAAGGCTTTTCGTTTTAATAATTATCAAATCTAAGATTTATTTTATAGTTATATACACTTTTGTAAAATAAAGATTACAAACTAATGAGTATTTCTTTTAACTACTTTTTTTTAGCATTATAAGAGTTGCTAGGTTTTTGTACAACTAGGCTTATTTTTTATTGATTTTACATGTTCATGTATATGTTACGGACCATTTAGGAAATCCGGAATTATGAACAATGCGTAGACACTATTCACAATGACAGGCGTTTTTCGCCAATGGAGAAATTGTATTCATATTTCTCACATATCTTAGATATCGACCAACCCTGCTACCCAACACACACACACAAAAGATTACACATTCTTGAGTTGAGTCTTAGGTTACACATATAATATATTATGTACTAAATTTTCGCGTGGAAGTTATTTGTAAAGAGAGGGTAGAAAAAATAAAAATAAGAA